AGGGAAGGGAAGGGAAGGGAAGGGAAGGGAAGGGAAGGGAAGGGAAGGGAAGGGAAGGGAATCTACCCTGCAGGGCAGCTGTGTGGGGTCTCTGGGGTCGGCAGAGACAGGTCAGCCTTGGGGTCTTTGCACCCCCCCCTTCATCCCAGAAACAGCGCAGGGCCAGCGCTTCTCACCACAAGACTCAGGGAGCAATCTGTGAGGCTCTCCAGCCTGGGAGGCAGAAAGGCGATCTGAACAGAAGCCAGGCCCTGCGCTGCCAGCCTGTGCCCTCAGGGAGCACGCAGCACAGGCAGGCAGGGCACCACTGCTTGGCTACAGAGCACAGGAGGCGCGCATGTCCTCACCAGACCCCAAGCCATGGCCTCAAGGCCCTGAATACCAGCTTTTCCACCTGTCTGTCTGCTGTGGCTGTTAGGGTCCTGGGAGAATGCCAAGACCTGGCCCGTCCCTCCCCTCCAGCTCCCCTAGCTTCCTCCACACACACCCCCATGTGATGTCACCAGTCTGATGACCTGGCCCTCCACTGGGATTCCCTGCAAAGATCATGGAGGGGACACAAGCAGGTTCTGTGTCCCTGGCAGGAAGGACACAGAAGTGAGGGCACCGACAGCAACCACAGGCCCTTCACCCACCACTAGGAGAGCCAACGGCCTCGCTGGGAGCACCTGAGAGCAGCAGGGGCAAGGAGGGGGCCACCCCCAGTGGGGGCCATGCTCTAGGGCAGCTGGACCCTCTGAGCCCTGCAGGGACTCCATGGCCAACGCTGGAAGGAGTCAGGCCGGGTTAGTATAGGGGTTGATCTGGGAACCCCATGTAGCAAGGGAGCAGGGAGATGCCCATGACAGCCTGAGACACGGCTCAGGAGACACACGTGGAGCCCCACAGCCCGGCAGGCTGCTCCCCACCGCCTGTACAACTGGTATGTAATCGCACAGTTTGTGACACAGGAAACATGCACGCGGGGCCTCTGCTGACGGGTCTCCTGCTGCATCAGAGCGGCTAGGAAGGTGGCTCCGTGGTACAGGGCTCACCTTGCATGCATGAGGCCCTGGGTTTGACTCCACAGTACTGTATAAGCAGAAAAAGCCGGAAGTGGCTCTGGGGTTCGAGTGGTAGAGCGCTTACCTTGAGCAGAAGAGGGGCAGCACCCAGGCCCAGCGTTCAAGCCCCATGACCGACAAAAAAAAAAAAGCATCAATGTGTTGGGGAGGGGTGCATGAGACCCCGCTGGGCCCTTCTCTTCCCCTCTGCCTTCCATATCAGAGACTCGGGAAGGAGCACCTGTGTGCCACGGAGACACCTCTGTCACCTGTGGAGTCCCCCAGCCCAACAAGTAGGCCCTGGGACTCCCCCAGGAGTGGTCGACAGCCCCGTATCAAGGCTCAAAGGAGAAAATAGGAGCTCCTCACCCTCCCCTCCTAGTGGATCCCCAGGCTACTGACAGTGAGGTGACACCATGAGGCAGGCTTCCTGGGCAGGCTTTCTGGAGAGATGGGCGGGACGGCATGCGTGTTAGGTGAGCACTGGTGAGTGGCCGGGAGGGACACACGGGCACTTGCGGAGCGCAGGACGGCGCTCAGGGCCAGTCTTGCTCTGGAGCCACAGCAACAGAGGCTCAAACCTTCTAGCCAACAGCTAAGCAGCCTCAGTTTCCTCCTCTGCCAAGGCAGGGAGTGGTCTGGTTGCCTGCTCCCCAATCCCGATGATGAGAGTCAGGGTGGCCAGTGGGAGCCCCCAAGGAAACATCTGCGCATTCCAGACGTATGTGGTCAGCAGGCGGGCGCATGCCAGGCCCGGCACCGCCGCCCCACACTGGCTGGCGGCTGTGCTGGAAACAGGGCTCAGGGGGAACGGCTCCAAGGGGCCGCCTGCCGACGTTATGTAACCCACTCTGCCCCACAGCCGCCGCCTCCCTCTGGCAGGCAGGAAAGTTCGGGGAGGAGGTCCCCCTTCCCCAGAGGAGCAGGCCCCTCTCCGCAGCAAGACGGATCCCCCACCCCATGCACATCTCCTAGAGCAGGGAGGAGAGGCCGCGCGAGGGCTGGGCCCTGGCTCAGGTGGAGGGAACAGAGCCCCCAAGAGGCCTGGGTAACGGTGTCTTTCAACGCTAATGGACTTTCCTTTTGGGAGCCCAGCAGCGGGAGCCAGTGTGAGTTCAGTATCCTCACACTGTTTTCATTCCCTTTGCTTTCTGCTCCCTTCTATTTATGGCAAGCAAGGCTGGCTTCCAGGGCCGGAAATGATGTTTAACTTAATGAATTCAAGTTTAGGAAAGAGAGCTGAAGAAAAACACAAGGAGTGTGCTGGCGGCAAGAAGGCCGGGGCCACTCGGCTGCACATACCCAGCGTTTCCCGGGAGAGAGGCAGGAGCTGGGGCAGCCCCACCCGCCCTGGACGCTCGCAACAGCTCCTGCTTGGGCCACACAGGGCCCGCAAGCAGCGGGGGGGAAAGGACACTGGGGCCCCGACAACAGACACAGGAGTGTCCTGTGGGGGTGTGCCCACGAGACCCAGGGGCCTCCCCGTCCCTCCCCGTCCCAGGGCCCGGGCTGTAGGAAAAGCCCCGTGTTACAAGGTTCTCTGCGCTCCTCGACACAGACACTGGGTGCTCTGACAACCTACTGTCACGAGGATGCGTGACAACCCACGAGGTCCTCCAAGCCCTCAGGCAGGACAAGACTAGGAGACCCCGGCCTCAGAGCCAGAAAGAACAGGATGAGAGAGTGGAGGATGGCGTCCTCCCATCCGGCAGGAGGAGGACCAGGGTGTGCAGGGCGGGGTCCACCCACCCCGGGAAGCTACTGGTGTTCTCCATCTGGGTACTCACCAAACTAGGTGGAGGAGAGGTGGCAGGGAGGGTGTGCCCCACCTGTAGCTAGGGTACCCAGGCCACCGGTTCAGGAGGAGGGATACAAAGACCCCAGCCCCGCCGCACCACCCCCTGGTGGTGACTCCGCATCAGGACCACCTAACTGCCTGGGCCACACGGCGAGCCGGGGCAGGAGTGTGGAGGCCAGGGCGCCTGTCTCCCCACAGCACCCTGAGGTGCAGCCAGCAGACTGAAGACTGTTCAGAGAGAGAGAGGCTGGGCAGGGGAGAGCAAGGGACGGGGCAGGGGCCTCAGTCCACCACACTCAGGTGCTGAGCACGGCTGAGGTCTGGTGGTGCCCAGCGCCTGGGCTGTCAAGTCCTATGGAGGCTCAAGACCCCAGAGGCCCCTCACTCCCGGCCACGCAGCGCCTCGATCTGTACCCTGTAACTACAAACACTGCCCTCGCGTCCCTGGGGAACAGACAGGGATGGGTTGCACCCCTGTCCTGGGACAATGGCTTGCCACGGCGGCTCCCCGAGAGTGCTGAAGATGCCACTGTTTGCCAGGGCTGGGCCTGTGAGACCATCAGGGGAAGAACGCCCTGCTCACCTGGGCCGCAAAGCACAGGCCCTCTCTTTGGCGTGAAGCGCCAGGGCACCATCGGGCCCCTTGGTGAAGACAGCTGCCAAGCCAGAGGGAACGAGGTGTTCCCAGAAAGGACATGAGCTGCATTTTCCAGCTGCATCGTGTCCTGCAGGGAGACGGGCTCACACCCCATTGTGCCCAGAGTGCTGGCCCGCCCACAGCTGCACCCACTCCAGGCCAGCTGGAGCCCAGGCCGTGGACGGCCAGGCCAGGCCTGAGCACACCCAGTCCAGACGGCCGCCACCCCAGACGGCAGCAGAAGGATGTTTTCATTCCAGAGAGCGAGGCGGGCTGGTCGTCTGGGCTCCTGCTGCTGGCGCTGGCCACCACTGTTCCAGAAAGGAAAATGTGTCTCCATCCAAAATGACTTCCTCGGTTGAAACCCAACCCCAGGCAGGGTCTCCCTCCGGAGCCGGGTTTCCACACTGCATGCCCTCTGGCAGAGCACCCCAGGGTGCGGGAGGGGCGGAGATGGAGCAGAGCTACCCCTCGGCCCCAGGGAGGCTTGGAGCAGTGCTGGCCAGGCAGGAGCCACATCTGGTAATGGCCACCCAGTTAGCTGTCACAGGATGGCAGCCCAGGATGCAAGGTTCACGGGCTGGCAGGACAGACAGGGGAAGGTAGCAGACTTAACAAGAAGTCCCCAAGAAGTCCAGAGAGAACAGAGGCGCCTGCAGCCTGGCACAGCCTTCCACAAAGCCCCACAATGCCAACTCAAGACAACACTCCGGTTCAAATGGGTGACAGCCAGGGAGGCTGGGCAAGCCGGGCACAACAGCTGCCCAGGGTGGGTGGAAGAACAGGACGCACCAAGAGGATGGGCACCAGTCACTGCCTCCTAACAACCTCACCGCCCCACACACGCCCTTGGTCAGACAGAGATGAGTGACTCGGCCAAGGTGACACAGGGAGAGGAGGAGCTGAGGGCTGAACTCAGTCTGACGCCAGGCCCGCATGCCTCCCTCCCGAAGCCAGCTGAAGCGACCAGCGTAGAGATGGTCAGAGAACTCGGGGAGGCTCAGGCAGAAAGACCACAAGTCCTGCCACCGCCACCCCTCCCTTCAAACACCCCAAGCCTATTCAGGAGGCTCCACAGCCACCTTTCCCTGCATCCTGAACCGAGACTTCCTGCCATTTCAGGGGCTTGCTCTGGAGGGGCCAATCGTATCACCACTGTTGTAACACTGAGTGATTTAAGAAATGACCCGGGGGGCTGGGAAGGTGGCTCAGTGGTAGAGCGCTTGCCTTGCATGCCTGAGACCCTGGGTTCGATTCCTCAGCACCACATAAGCAGAAAAAAAAAAAAAAAAAAAGCGGGAAGTGGTGCTGTGGCTCAAGTGGTAGAGTGCTAGCCTTGAGCTGAAGAGCTGAGGGACAGCGCCCAGGCCCAGAGTTCAGGCCCCACGGCCGGATCCAAAAAAAAAGAAAAGAAAAGAAAAGAAAAAGAAATGACCGGCTTCTAGGGGTCCGATTGTTGGCCCGTGGATCTGAGAGCTGCTCTCACCCCACAGCGCCAGTGAGGCATCTGTGAGAGAAAGGACAGTAAGTGGCGACACAGGGCCCAGACAGAGGGAGAGGACGTAAGGACTGGGTCTCCATAGGTACTCTCCCAGGGTGGTTTTTGTTTTTAAACAAGGAGAAGCATATAGTATATAAAGTTTACCCAGAGCAGACAATTCAGGGATTTTTAGTACCTAGGCAGGCTGAGCGTTCATCACTAATCTGCACCACACAATTTCATCATCCCCAAAGAAGCCCGACCCCCTGGCTACCAGCCCTTCCACCCCCACCCCCACCACGTTCTGTCTCTGTGGATTGATTAGCCTATTCTGGGTGTTTTATGTCAAGTTTGTTATTTTATATAGCCCAGGTTGGCCTTGAACTCTAAATCCTCTTGCTGGTATTACAGGTGTAGACCACCAAACTCAGCTCACTGTGATTTTGACTAGCATTTCCCTAATGACTAATTACACAGAGCATCTTTTTTGTAGTTGTTTATCTTCTTTGGTGAAATACCTCTTGGGATCCTCTGCCACTGTTTTTTTGGGGGGGTCTGGTCGTGGGCCTGAACTCTGGGCCTGGGCGCTGTCCCTCAGCTCTTCAGCTCAAGGCTAGTGCTCTACCACTTGAGCCACAGTGCCACTTCTGGCTTTTTTTTCTTTTTGCTTATGTGATGCTGAGGAATCGAACTCAGGGCCTCAGGCATGCAAGGCATGCGCTCTACCACTCTGCCACTTTTTAATCAGAATATACCCCAGATACAAGTCCTACCGCAACAGGGGAGATGACCCACGGGTGCCTCTTGGCCCTGGAACTGCTCCTGCAGCACTACTCACAGGGACGCTGCACACTACTGGCTCCTGGGGCTCACCTACTTTTTTATTGTATTTTTTTGCCATGGGGCTTTAACTCAGGACCTGAGCACTGTCCTTGAGCTTCTTTTGCTCAAGGCTAGCACTCTACCATTTGGGCCATAGTGCCACTACTGGCCTTTTCTGTGTATGGGGTACTAAGGAATCGAACCCAGGGCTTCATGCATTCTAGGCAAGCACTCTACCACATTCCCAGCCTGGAGCTCACCTACTTACTTATGACCCTGAGTACTGAAGAAGGGGATAGGACTGGCTGCAGTTGAGATGTTTCTTCGCATATAAGATGGAGACTCCAGAGACCAGGCCTCACGCCCATAATCCTAGCTACTCAGAGGCTGAGATCTAAGGATCACAGTTTGAAGCCAGCCCAGGCTGAAAAGTCTATGAGATGTTTATCTCCAATTAATTACAAAAAAAGCCGAAGTGAGCACCCAGTCTGAGTTCAAGCACCAGGACCAGCACAAAAAACAAAAATAGCTGGGCGCTGGTGGCTCACGCCTGTCATCCTAGCTACTCAGGAGGCTGAGATCTGAGGATCACAGTTCAAAGCCAGCCCGGGCAGGAGAGACTGTGACACTCCTATCTCCAATAAACCACTAGAAAACCGGAAGTGGCGCTGTAGCTCAAGTGGTAGAGCACTAGCCTTGAGCTGAAGAGCTGAGGGACAGCGCCCAGGCCCAGAGTTCAGGCCCCACGACCGGGCCCAAAGAAAAAAAAAAAAAAAAGATGCATTGTACAGACTCATGCCTGTACCCCTAGCTACTCAGGTGGCTGAGTTAAATTGTGGTCAATTAGAAGTCAGCCCAGGTAGGAAGCTTATAAGAGCCTACCTCCAATTACCACCTAAAAGCTAGAAGTAGAGAGCTATGACTACAGTGGTAGAGCACCAGCCTTAAGTGAAAATGCTAAAGAACAGTACTCAGGCCCTGGGTTCAGGTCCCTATACACAGACACAGACACACAGACAAACACACACACACAAAACTAAGACAAGTGAAAATTTGAACACACCGTTTAATAGGACTAAAGAATCATTCCAAGCCAGGTGCTAGTGGCTCACACTCTAATACTAGCTACTCAGGACACAGAGTTCTGAGGATCATGGTTCAAAGCCAATCTGGGCAGCAAAGTTCATGAGACTCATCTCCAATTAACCACCAGAAAACCTGAAGGGGAGCAGTAGCTCCAAGTGGTAGAGTGCTAACTTTAAGCAAAAAGAGCTCAGAGACAGCGCCCAGGCCCTGAGTTCAAGCCCCACAACCACCATCACCAACAACAAAAAAGAATCGTCCCATGCTTTAGGTGTGTTCTGAGTGTATATATCACTCCAAAACACAGAAAAACTTGCAGGATGCTAGTATTTTGCTCAAAACTTGTAGCAGGGGCAAGAAGGAGAGAACATGAGAGTCATCATTCTGTCTGCCTACTGTTCTCCATAACAAAGCTTTAAAAATAGCAGAGCAGCAACCTTTGCCAGTAACGTCATCTTGTTCCAGCTGCCACATCACTTTAACCCAAGAAAAGCTGGAAGTCTGTGGTCTCACCTCCCACTGGCTCAGCCAGTGGAGGTCCTGTGCCCCAACAGAAACTACTGGTGACAGTGAGAAGGTAGCGCTCGCAGTGCTCTTTCGGTGCTCCTAAGCTCTGGCCTGGGAGGCTGCAGTCTCGGGCCCTGGCCTGTCCCATCTCTGAGACCCACCTATCTTGCTAGGAGTCTACAGGGCTGACAACCTACCTAGTGCAGACAAGGGTTTCTCAGGTCAGCAGGAAGAAGCCTCTACACCTGCCCCTAAGGCCCTAGTTTCCTGTGTTCTCTCTGGAAATCTCTCAGGGGAAGGTTAGGGGGGTATATGCCAAACCTCCTCCATTACTCACCCATCTGAGTCCATGCTGAGGCCCCACTGCACACAGAGTGGCCAGGATCCCCAAGGATCCTGCCAGATCAGGCCAGGCCAGGCTGCCAGGGGTATGTCCCCTCCCCCAAGGACAATGCCTGGGTGCTCCCACAAATAGAAGGCCGAAAGCCCCCAAATCCTAAATCAGTGACTAAGCACTTATTGAATCCCTGATATGTGCCGCTTCCTAGTCCCTAAAATACATGAGACAACACCAGGGCCAGTAAGGCTCCTTTACCAAAGCCCAGGACCAGAATGTAACAGGACCCACCAAGGTAAGGGCTCAAGCTCCAGGCCCTCCTCCTCTACTTCCTCCACAGCTCCTGGGAGACCAGCAGAGATGCAACAGGGGCAAGAGAGGCGGAGGAAGCAGGAACCAGTGGGAGCCAGCCAACAGAGAGAGAGGTGCGTGCACCCACAACATCTGACGCAATTCTGTGGGCCCTGCTGGCAGGCGGGAGGGGGCATCTCCATAGACACGCCTGAGGCATGAAGGCTTCCAGTCAAAGAGCACAATGACAAGCCCAGCAGGCCCCAGTCGCAGCTCCTGGCCAGCCCCACAGAACTTGCTCTTTTCCCACTCCCAAGGCCACTGGGCAAAACCCCAGGGACACAGGACTCCCTGTGTGGCCCTCCATGGGGCCACCCAAGCCGAATGCCCAGGACCCATTTATGGTTTAACCAGAGCAGAGATGGAAGAAGCTCCCCAGGGGAACACAGCAGGAGTTTCTGGAAGCGAGGTGCTGGAAGTGCCCAGAAAATTCTGAACCTCTTCAGCCTTGGAGGGTCAGTGCCTGCAATCCTGTTCTCTGCATCCTTTCCAGTCCAACCCTAGGTCCTGGGCACTGCCCGAGGCCAAGCCCTACTCAGTCGCGCGCGATACCCACTGCGTCACGTCTCCAAAAAGACGACTTCTTCACCAGGAAGGCTGGGGTTCCCCTGCGCCTATCCACCCCCAAAGAAAGGCTGCTCCCAACACAGACCCCGAGGCTGGGTTCTCAGGATCACGCTGCCACAGAGCACCTGGGGCCAGTCCAGGCCCGGCGCACCTGTGGGTCCGCTGCCCCCTCCACTGCAGGGCCCGGCCCCTCCCCGCCCTCTTCCCCCGCCCCGACTTACCCGGGACCGATTCTCACACACCCATCGACCCTTACCGAGGGCCTCGCGTCCACCACAGACCCGCCCAACCCCGGGCCGGAACCCGACCAGCCTCCCGCCGACGAGGCTCGAATTAGCGCGTCTGTCCTCCCCGCGCCCCCGCCCGTCCCCTCGGCGGGCGTCCGCCGGGCCCCGCGGGGAGGGGCGACGTTTTCTCCTCAGAAACCCGGAGCCCCGGCTGGCCCCGGGGCCAGGTTTTCCTTATTTAGCCGGGCGGACGTCCCAGCTGGAGCTTCGCCCTGGGAGCGGCCAGGCCCGCGGCGTCCGGCGTCCCGGGGCC